ACTCAGGCTCTAATGACTCTGGGTCTATGACAAAGTCGGTGGGAAGTTTTTCAAAATGAAAGAGTTTGCTTAGAGCTTTGATATTGTCATTTAACTAAAGATTATTGGTGAATAGAAGAAAAAGTTCTGCTCCAGTGTCATGTATGACTTGGATAACTGTTTGTAAATTTGGGAGATCAGGTAGAAGAAGGGTGATCCACTTTCTTGGGATGTCTCCTGCGTATTTTTCTTTGATTCTGGCTATGGTTTCTTTGAACATAGGAGATTCTCTGTTTAACTGGTCCTTTGTTATCCCTGCTTCCTTTTCGACAGTGTAGAGGTCTTCTGGCATTTTGAGTCTGTCATCCTGGTTAAGGTTATCTTTGATCCACTCTGGACTCAGTGATAGCTTTACATAAAACTTACATTTTAAATCCTTGATGAGGTTGTCGGCTTCTTCTTGATTTGTTATTGGGAGAAAAATAGCATTGTTTTCACTATACCAGTGGGGCGAGGAAAGAGGTCACCTAACCCTGATATAATCAAGTGGCAAGTGTTTTACTGTATAGTTGTTGTCTCTTAGCAGTTTGACTTCCTTTTTAAAGTCCTCAATGCTGTTGTTGACTGAGAATTGTTTTGCCAAGTGAAGTGGAAGATCTCTATATAATAGGGGTAGTATCATTTTTGGTGGTGGTAATTTGAAGTAAGTTTCAGATAGTTTGCTTGGCACGTAATGGTGTTCCCTGAGTTGGTCCACTATAAGTTTGAGATCGACCAGTTCTTGTCTACTGGTAAGAGGAAAGATATCATGAAATTCTGATTTAAGATCTTGGGGATAGTTAGGAAGATTTGGTTTTTTGATGAAGTATAATGGTGGAAGAATATCAAAGTTATAGAAGGCTCTCAAACTGCCTGCTACTTCGCTGACTTCCTTGGTTAAGGATAGAAAGATAGCTTTAAGTAATCTGACTTTGATTAGGATAGAACATCCTTAGGATTTTCTGGAAGGTCTGGCAGATTTCTTTTAATTTGCTCCTCGCAGGTATTATAGATCTCATGATAGTTTACTTTTAAGAGGGTAGAATTGATGAAGAAGTTTAGTTCATATTCCAACAGTTGGGCTACTTGCCAAAACTTGAGGAGAGGCAGATCAGTGGATTTGAGGTACGCAACAAATAGTGCTTTGTTGATTATTGTTTTGATTTTCTTCCTTGTAGCCCTTGAGATGTATTCAATGTTATTTAACTTAAGGTAGTTTGTATGGAATTCCTTTTCGATCTTTTTATATTCTATTTGATGTTGTCTTTAATTATTTTATCTTTTGCGAAAGTTCTGAAGAAGTCATGATCTTGATGTTTGATTTTTGCAAATATTCCTTTGAGAGATGTTTTCAGTTGGTTCGTAGATTCATTACTGATTTTCAGGAAAAAGTTCATGATGGATTTGGCAGAGTATTCACATTGATTAAGCTCCTCATATAATTCAATTAGTTTATCTTGTCCAGAAGAGATTGTGTTTTCTCTGATGTCTATTGTGGATTGATGGAAACTTTCCTGAGATAGTTCGAGCATCTGATTGGTTTCATCAGCCCATAAGTTTGGAAGTGATTCTACAGTTGCAATTGATTGGCTAAAGGAAGGATGATTATTAATTTCCATATTTGTAGCAGGTGGTTGCACTGTGTGTACAGGTGCTTGGGTGTAGGTGTTGCTGCTCGTGGTTTCATGCACAGTTGGTTGATTGTCAGTTGCACATGTTGTTGTCCTCAACGGCAAGTCTGTCGCTACTCCGGGTCAAGACTCGTATCACGTTGGGGGAAGGGTCAATGTCGCTGGCGATATCAAAGGTACGTGTAGTGATAATTATCTTAATCTTCCTCTAGGTTTAATTAGTTTCCTCTTCTGATCTCTCCCCTGTCAAGCTATAGGGTGGCGGATCCTTTATAGAACGACTAAATGACAAATAAGGTAAGTTTATTAATTATCATTGCACTGGTACAAGCAATTGGATTTCGCAAAGTCAGTATTTTATTAATTTTCTTGTTTCTCTTTCTGTTCTGAGTACATTAGCTATTTATACTATCACGATACATCTTTCTAATCTATCGTCGTATCATACAAAATTACTAAACTTCTACAAACTCAGCACCTATCAATCATGCATAATTGGTGCATAATTGATACCTCATGCGGCACCGCGCCGGGCTCCACATGTCCCGTCATGCCCCTATTACAATTTTTATACTAACATTCCCCCACGCCTATCTTATGCTCTCTGGATATAAGTATCCACCCATACTACCGGTTTATAATATTGCTTCAAGATCTTGACATTGATAGGGTTTGCTAATACACGTCCGTCCATAGTGCGAAGCTTATATACGTCCCGGCTTATCTTGTCGTGGATGTAATACGGTCCATCTCATTTAGCTACAAATTTGCTACTCTTTGAATACGTTAGTGTAGCTTGGTATAGTAGCACTTTATCACCTATATCAAATGGTTCGGCAATTCTATTTTGTTCGTCATAATAAGTCTTCTGCTTTTCTTACACTTTACTCACACGTTTTACTACTTCTTCTTTTGTCCTAGGCAGTTGCTCAATCAGATCATATGTGCACTGCAAGATCGTTCCATTTTCTATATCCTCGGTGCTACTCGGTTGTATCGGCTGCTGGGCCTCTTGATCATATACCAAATAAAACAGTGTCATCTTTGTCATTGCATGCCTCACCGTATGGTATGCAAACAGGATTGATGGAATTACTAGATTCCAGTCTTCCACATTCTGAGTTAACTTAGCTATTGCCTCACACAGTATACGATTAAAACGCTCTACCAATCCATTCGTTTGTAGATGGTATGGTGTGGTAAACTTGTGCTTACTGTTCAACTTGTTTATCAGTGTCTTGATCAATTCGTTTTTAAAGTGAATGCCTCGATCCATCACTATTTGCTCTGGGCAACCGTGGTGGCAAATGATCTCATTGTAAATAAAATCAGCTATCGTAAATACATCTGCTCTTTCTACTGCTAATGCCTTGGGCCATTTCGTCATGTAATTCATGGCTACAATGATATATCGTTTCTGTCAGGATGTGCGGGGTAATAGTCCCACAAAGTCAGTTTTTATCTGATGAAATGGAGCCACTACTGGTATTGGCTGTAACAATTCTTGCATTCGGGGTTTTCCTTGTTGCTAACACTGGTCGCAGATTTGTACATATATGCATATATCATTACACATTCGTGGCCAAAAGTATGTCTCTCTGATTTTTGCTAGCATAGTATCACTATTGAAATATCCTCCTAACGAATAACTGTATGTTAAGAACAGTACAGGCTCTATTTCATGCCATTGGATCACGTGCAAAAGGTGACTCTCGTTATTTTTCCTCTTTCTGTACAGAATGCCGTTTTTATATACATACTTCTTACTTTCTTTTTGCAACTGCTGCCTTTCTTCTTTATTAAGGGTTGGCGGTACTTCTTAATACTGCAAGTAATACTTAAGATAGTTGAACTGAGTGGTTTCCATTTTTTCTTTTGTAAATGTGTTTATTCTTGTAAACTTATCACAGTCTTTTGTAGTTTTGCCAGGACACCAGAACCTGGGCTGGATTCTGTTCCTCTGATTTTTTTTTTTTCATGGTCTGGTGATCTTACTAACTTGTTTCCTTTACTTTCACTTCTTTTACTTTTCACTTCCCTTTTTATTGATTTGCTTGTGTTAGTTTTAGAGATAGGACAACGTGTCAGGATTGTTGTGCATGATTGTAAAATTAAAGGGTTGTAATCTCAAAATCCATCTTACATACCTTCCTGATAGCTTCGTGGCTCACAGCCATTTCAATGCTAGGTGGTCAGTTATCACTACGAAGAGGTTCATGCCATAATAATGCTAATAGTGTTCAACTGCCCATAGCACGGCAAAACATTCCAGCTTAATGGCGGCATAGTTTCTTTCATGCTTGATTAGTCCCCTGCTAGTATACGATACTATGTATTCCTTATTTTCTTCATCTTTTTGAGCTAGGACCGTGCCTAACCCATATCCAGAAGCATCGGTGTGTACATAAAAAGTCTTTGTAAAGTTGGGGTATCTTAAAATCGATGTGGTAACCAAGTGTCATTTCAATATCTCAAATGTATGATTTTGCTCCGTTTCCTATTTGAATTTGGTATTCTTTTTCATTAAGTTGTGGAGTAGTTGGGCGATCGTTGCAAAGCCCTGGATGAATCTTCGATAATATGACACCAATCCCACGAATTTACACAATTGTCTTAAATTCTTCGGCACAGGAAAGTTCTTAACTTTATCAACCTTTCCTTCATCAGGTCGAATACCTCTTCAGCTTATGACATGTCCCAGGAAGGTAATGCTCGGGCAAAAGAAAGCGCATTTCTCGAAGTTAAGTTTTAGTTTGACTTCCTTTATTTTTTGGATCACTATACTAATATGCGCCACATAACTTTCGAAGGTCTCAGAGTAAATGTTTATATCATCCAAGTATACAACTATGAACTTTCCTATAAACTTACTTAGCAGCATGTTCATTAGTATTTGAAATGTTGCTGTGGCGTTACACAACCCAAATGGCATAACATTGAATTCATATGTTCCCCAGTTTGTTACAAAAGCAGTTTTCTCGCGATCCCCTTCCTCCATTATTACTTGCCAATATCCTGATATTAGATCAAGGGTGCTGAACCAGTTGGCGTTGGAGAAAGTTTCAATCAGATTATCCACTCAGTATAAGGGTAAGTATCTTTCTTGATTACAGCATTCAGTTTACGATAGTCGACACATAATCGTAGTTTTTAACCTTTCTTCGGTACAATTACGATTGGCGATATCCATGGGCTTTTTGATTCCCAGATTAAATTCCTTTCTATAAGCTGCGAGATTTCTTTTTTAATGAATTCTTTTATGTCAAGTACTGTTCTATATGCATTTTGTTTAATCAGTTTAGCCTCTCCGATGTTGATACTGTATCGCACTATGTCAGTATGTCCCAGCTTTTATACACTCTGTGCGAATGCATCACGTTCTTTTATCAGTACGTCTTTTCCTTGTTGTATTTGATCTTTGGTCAATTCTTCATTCATTATCATTGTGTTAACTTCTTCTTCTATTACCATTTCTTCTCTACTCTTCGTCGGTAATTCTTCTCTTATCATCACATCATCGCCTTCTTCTGCGGGTAATTCTTCCATCACTTTCACGAACACATCCTCATCATTATCATCGTTTTCTTGTTCATCATCATTTATACTTCCTTTCGCTTTCCTAATTATTACAGCAGGCTCATCTATCTGGGCTAAGTACACTGCAGGACCTGGTTCCTCAGATTGTACTTCATTATCGGGATCAGAGTCACTACGCGATTTCTCCATATAGTATCCTTCCTTTTTTTTTACTTCTTCTTTTTCATATGCGATCTTATCAAATATCTTCTCTGTATCATTCTCATCAGTCGATTCCTCATTATCAGTTTCAATATTTGGCCCCTTTCTTGCTTTATCATTCATGATGGAAACTTTGATTTTCTTTCCATCATATCAGATCACAAGTTTCTGCTGGTCATAGTAGATTTTGGCTTTCACCTTTTTGAACCAGTCATTTCCCAACAGCAACGTCTCATCTTTGGAATCAATTACTTGGAGTGACATCAGGATCAAGGTTCTTTGTATAAATATCTTTAGACTATTGATGTTTCTCAGCATTCTCGTCCTTAAACCAGTAACAGATACTATGTTTGTGATTGATTTCTTCTCAATCTTTAGTTTCAACCACTTCATTAATCTACTTGATATGAAACTTATGGCGGCTCCCGTATTAACAATAGCATTTACTTTCGTATCCTTAATTTTTATTTGACATTTCATCACAGTCGTTTCTTTTTCTTTGACTTCCACATAGTTGGTTTCTACCGGAACAAGTGGTCTTCTTATTACTTTTGCTAGTATTTCCCTTTGTTCTGAAAATTGTAGCATCTGCCCTATTGTAGCACTGGCAGGTGTTGCTAAGATATCCTTCAGGACATTATAAGAGGGTGTTCTGTTCAATTCTGAGGGTCCCCTCTTTCGTCGTGGCTTCCTTCTAGCTGGCATTGCTTCCTTCATTTCTTCATTCTCATTGGATATTGGCATGTTATCGTAGTACTTGGGGTCTTAAAGATCAAGCTTCGGCCTGTTCCTTAGACGTCTGTCCCAGTTGGACCCTAGTTCCAATACCTCTTTTCTTTTTCCTTTGTTATCTTAGACTTCTCCTGCGTAAGCTTCCTTTCCTTTTCCTTTATCATCCTCCACGACAAGGAACTGAACTTCTTTGGTTTGCTTTACCTTTTTCATTGTGATGTCCTTTTCGGGCAGTTCCTGGCCTGATGACCTATCTCACCACACTTATAACATTCTCCATTTATTACTCTTGGTTTGCTTCCTGAATTTTCAGCAGGTATGTTGAGTTTATCGAACTGTTCTTTCATGTCTCGCATCTGTTATATTAACTCTTGAATTCTTCCTTCCAGCTTTTCCATCTTGCCTGACTCCCTCTCATCACCGGATGTCTCGAACTCTTCATCCAAGTCGGCTTGCGTTACTTGTTCTAGAATTTCATTCAGGGTTGTAGTGGTTGTGACAGTGAGTACAGCAGCAGCCTTCTTTCATAATCCTTCCATAAAGATTCTAATATCTCCTCTTCCTGACAGGTTGTTATTGGGGTCGGCCTTCTTTTGCAGTTTTCAGAACCGGTGTGTATACACCATTACTTGTTCGTCACTTCTCTGTCTAATGTTAATTAGGTCAACATACTATTGACATTGTTGTTCGTAGGTTACAAAGGTTTTCAGGAATAGCAGTACAAAGCTTCTTCTTTGGTCCTCTTCATCATCCCAGTACTCGAACCGCTATTGTTGGTAGTCATACCAGTCTCCTGCATTACCTTCCAAATGGCTTACTAACATTTTTAACTTTCTTTCGTCTGGCCAGTTATTGGCTTTGGTGATCCTTTCATAGGATTCTAACCATATGTACGGGTCTTCACCCTTTTCTCCTTGGAATTCTCGTGCTCTCACCCATGGTATGTCTCTTTCTTCAGTCATTTTAAAGTGTTCTCTTGATTCATCTTACTTTTTTCTATACTTGTTGCCTCCTTTGCCAAAAAAGCCATTTTTTATCAATCTGTCTATCCCGAAATTCATTTTATTGATTAGTAATCCAATTACAGTTAAATCACGAGGTCTTGTATGATGCAGGTACTCTTTTGATTATGGTTTGTTTTTAGCGAACAATGGGTAATAATTAAAGTTTTTCTTATTTAGGTATACACGCAAAATATCAGGGGAGAGGAGGTAATGAGCATTGCTCTCTATATGATCTACTCAGATCCTCCACCAAATGTTGTCCTGACTCGTATCACATTGGAGGAAGGGTCTATGTCGCTGGTGATATCAAAGGTACATGTGGTGATAATTATCCTAATCTTCCTCTAGATTTAATTAGTCTCCTCTTCTAATCTCTCCCCTATCAAGCTATAGGGCATCAGATCCTTTCTAGGATGACTAAATGACAAATAAGGTAAGTTTATTAATTATCGTCGTACTGGTACAAACAATTGGATTTCACAAAGTCAGTATTTTATTAATTTTCTTGTTCCTCTTTCTGTTCTGGATACATTGACTATTTTTACTATC